CTGTTTGCTATTTAACAGAGGGATAATCATCTACTTGGGGTCAGGACAATAGTTAGACATGGAACTATTTGCATGGGCTCCTTTTGTGTGTTTTGGATCTGCTTTTTCTTTTCTCTTTTGATGTCTATATAAGAAAGGCAAGATAAACAATTCCAATGAGGAAGCAATAGGACCAAAGGTTGGGGTGGGAGGAGCCATAGGGGAGAAGGCTGGGAGAGGGGAGCGATGAGTCAACAACAGAGACAGGGGAATAGCAAGGGATCTAAAAGTGATGGTGAGGAAGGGGTAGCATTCCTTGTTGTATTTGATCAATAGAAATGAGAGGAATTACCGAGAGGCAAACGATGGATAAACGTGATAGTGGGGCAGGAGGAAAAAAAATAGAGGAAAGAACAAGAAAGTAAAAATTATATATAGGTATATAGATATGTATATATGTAAATATATAAAGATATATGTATTTGTGTGTGTGTGTGTGTGTGTGTGTGTGTATATATATATATACATATACACACACACGTCACCCACAGGCTGTTCCACCCACTGGTCTGTGATCTTGTGTATATATATATACACACACACACACACAACAAGGAAGCAGATGGACTTTGGGCCTCTACTTTAATCTTACCCGAGTACAAGTATGGTTTATTCTAATAATGTGGCAATGTATGATACTCACCTTGCCAACATGATTGCTGAAGATAAAATGGGTGCATAAGCAAATGTGGTGAAGAAAGTTGATGGTACACAGCTATTAAAAAATATAGTGTCTGGAGTCCTAAAGACTTATAGTTAAACAAGCGGCCATCTAGCAGGGAAGCAACAAAGCCCACATGGAAGAAGCATGCCAGCAAATGTGGTCATGAGGTGTCTGCAGAAATAGGTAGCAGATGTTCAAAAACAAGCAATCAAATTGACATGAAGGAGCACAGGCAAAGTGGAGACCAAAAAACCACCTGTAAGATAACTGGACAGTCCCTCACATAAGGGCCACATGGAAGGGATGATATATCCAGGGTGTAATATAGCACTATTGAAACACATAACTCTAGTTCTTTATATTTCCTCTAGATCTTTAATATTTCCTCCCCTTATTATTATGGTCTTAGTTTTACCTCATTAATTCTGTTAGACTTGTATATGTTCATTTGTAAAATTAAGATCATTTGATGCATGAAATCAAAGACAGATAAACCCCTCAGAAATAGTAATGGGAGTAATGATTCCCTGGCGGTACAGAGGAGCGGGGAGTGGGAAAGTGGGAACTGATACCAATGATGTCTACATAACTCCACTTGAAGGGAACAGACAACAGAATGGCAGGTGAATGGATACATTGGATGGTTTAAGATATGGGGGGGAAAGGAGTAACAATAATAATAGTATTTAATATAATAACAAGGGTTCTTGGGGAGCAGGGTGGGGAAAGGTGGGGATAAAGGGGAGCTGATATTAAAGAGCAGAAAGAAAATGTTTTGAAAATGATGGTGGCAACAACTGTAAATCATGCTTATCTAATTGAACTATGGATGGAAGCGCCTCAAATTAACCCTATAATGCCTGGATTTTTAATTTCAGGGAAAAAATTTGCTTTTATTCTTTACTTTCATAGTTATCAATATATTAATATATACATTTAATTAAATGTTACAAAACCGTCACGCTCGGCGTTAGAGGGTTAAAAAGTTAATTTAAAAAATCTAGTCCATCAATTTTGTTTCAAGTGCTCAAGAGCAACATAAGATTAGTGGCTGTGACACTAGGCAGCAAAGCAGTACATAGGATCTACTATGAGAGTTAAGAGATTCAGAAACTCTTCTTGATGGATCCAATAGTTGGCAGATATCAGAGGCTTTCACACTTCCAACAATTTCCATTATGAAAGAACACAGGACTGTGTGAAGACCTACTAGAAATATTTCTTCTGTTGAAACAATGTTTCCTTGACTGTGTAACTAAAGCAGGCTAACACATTATAGTGTGAAACCGATCCTTTCTTTTCTACAATGCACTAACGTAGAGGTCAAGGAGCTATCTTCTCTACCAGGGAATTTAATGTAAAGGCTATTACATTATTACTCTTAAGTCACTTTTCATTTATTACTTTTTGATGAGTGAAAAGAAGACTTTGCGGCAGCTCTAAGTATTTTCATTGTCAAGTGAAATGTAGAATTTTGAATGGCAGCTTAGAGTCTCACCTTTAACTGCGAGGCAAAAGTAAGCTATTGTTAAGTTCTGGAACCGGTTAGTGATATGATGAAATCAATGCTTCAGGGAAATTTATCTGAACCCACTGTGTAGGTAAACAGGTAGCAACAAGGGCAACAACAACCTCAAGGAGGGTGTGAGCTCCTAGCACCCTTAGCTGGTTCTCCTTATGTTCCTCTGTGGGAATGCTGTTTTCCTTTTGAAGCTAACAAAACAGATGCTCCTACTTCAAGAGAAAGTTCAGAATCACCTTGCTTTCCTGGATGCAGATTGCAAACTGAGTCACTGCTTCATTTCTGCTCTCAAAGCACTTCACTGAAAATCCTAAACAGAACCTGCAAGGCCTGGTCTGGGCCACTGCAGGTTGTTCTTTCCAGCCTCATGCTCTGTGGAGTTCCCTGCCCTCTCTCCACTAGAAACTGTTCTATGGACTGCATAAGCCTCTTCTGGCCTTAGGGCAGGAGTCCTTGGGTGGTACAAACCATTAAATAAGCTGTAGCGAAAAGGCCAGCGCCACCTGAGAAGACAGGCCTAGAGATTTGCTTCCAAGAGGCCAGTCCAAATCAACTCAAAGGCAACAGGTTAATTTGGGTTTGTCCTAAGGACCTTCTCACACATTTAATTGAAAGGTCCTTTCCCCAAGATATTTTTGTTCTTTTCAAATCTCATCCTAACAGTCAGATCTTCAAAGGAGTCCTTCTCTTTCCCAAAGGGGCCCTGATGGCACAGTGGGTTAACCACTGGACTTCAGGTTGGTGATTTGAACCCACTCTTTTGGAGAAACATGTGGTAGTCTGCTCCCCTAAACATCTACAGCCTTGGTAATTCTATTTTGCCCTATGGGGTCACTCTAGTCAGAATCAACTGGATGTTAGTGGATATATGCTGAAATGCTATTAGAATGGGTGATATTTTGTGTCAGACTTGCCAAAAACATTTTTTTTAAAGCCTTCAGGTGGCACATATTGTTAGGTGCTCTTGGGTCCGTTCCTACTCATAGGGACCACCGTATATACAACAGAAAGAGCATCACCTGCTCCTGCACCATCCTCGCAATTATTCCTATGCTTGAGCCCATCATTAGAGCCACTCTCATTAAGGACCTTCCTCTTTTATGCTTCCCCTCTATTTTACCAAGCATGATGTCTTTTTCCAGGGACTGGTCTCTCCTGTTAACATGCCCAAAGTACGTAAAATTAAGTACGCTATCCTTGCTTCTGGAGAATTCTGACTGTATTTCTTCCAAGCCAGATTTGTTTGTTTTTTGATAACCCATGGTACTTTCAATTTTCTTCCCCAAGACCATAGTTCAAATGCATCAATTCTTCTTCGGTCTTCCTTATTCAACTTTCATATGCATATGAAGCAATTGAAAATACCATGGCTTTGTTCAGGTGTACCTTAGTCCTCAAAGTAACATCCCTGCTTTTCAATACTTTTTAAAGAGGTCTTGAGTAGCTTTACTCAAACAGAATTGAATGAAAACATTCTAATGCCGTGCAGTGCTGAATTCAATTGATTCCTACTCAACAGGAACCATGCAGAACGCAGTAGGACTGCCCCACAGGGTTTCCAGGGCTTTAATCTTCTTGGAAGCCAGCTGCTTCATCCTTCTGCAGAATGGCTGGTAGGTTCAAACCACTGACCTTTATCAGCTAAACACTCAGCCACTGTGTCCACAGTACAGCACCAAGGCCACCTCTACTACCTTCAGGTGGATTTGGATTCTTAAGAACCCCTTAGGGCAGAGAACTGTTCCATCTACCTTCCAGGGCTGTGATCTTATCCATGCAGTTCCCCGGGCCTTTTTTCCATAGCAGTTGGGTTGATTTAAACCCCAGCATTCCAGCTAAGTCGGTGGTTCTCAACCTTTCTAATGCCACGACCCTTTCATACAGTTCCTCATGTTGTGGTGACCCCCCCCAACCACAAAACTATTTTCGTTGCTACTTCATCACTGTCATTTTGCTGTTATGAATCAGGCAACCCCTGTGAAAGGGTCGTTCGACCCCCAAAGAAGTCACGACCCACAGGTTGGGAGCCGCTCAGCTAAGTGCTTAGTCTTTGTACCCCACTTGGGCTTCATTAGTCTTCTTGGTCTCATGACGTCTAACATCTACCAACTTCCCTCTCCCTGGTGGTGCTGTGAGTTCGGCTGCTCAGCAGAAGCAGCTGCTTCATAGCTCTCTCAGGCTACTGCTCTTTAATAAAGAGATCATTAGATGACATTAACCTTGTTTCTCACCATATTTGTTCGCATAGCGGTTAAAGCCGTTCTGAAACGGGCTGGCTGGGTACCTACCCATCTCCCTCAGTTTACCCAATTGCACCATGAGGCGGGGAGGAGGGGGTGCGGAGGTGTACCTCACTGGCTTAGTGCGGACGTAACACGAAACTAGAAGGCAGGAGGCGGTTCAGTGCATGAGTCAACCACGTTGCATGTCGGGGACGTGAGGCAAGGAGGGCCTTGGGACTCTGAGGAAGGAACGCACCCTTCCCTCGCGCGTGGGCACCTCAGCGGCGGGCTCTCTGGGCCTCCTCCGATGTCGGACTCCGTCAGGGGAGCGCACCCCAGCGGACTTAAGTTGCTCTCACCCCCGCGGCGGCGGCTAGCACCCTAACCAGCCAACTCCTCAGGAGGCGCGGGCTCCCAGAGAAAAACCACCAAGAGGAGAGCGGCCCGGGAAAGCAGGGCCCGGAGGCGGAGTTACGGGGCGGGGGGACGCCGCGTGACGTCCGACGTAGCGCCGCACGCAGCGGCACGCATGCGCACTGACTTGTGACTGGGAGCAAGCAACATGGCGACCGAGCACAAGCCCAAGTTGTCCAAGAATCTGCTGCGCATGAAGGTGCGGGACTGAGGGCGGGCCGGGCGGTAGGACCTCCCCGGGCTCAGGGGCTGGCAGGGCCGGCGCGCGGGACGTCTGGGAATGCCAGCGAGACCCCGGGGCTCCCCCAGCTGCCGCCTTCATTCATTCATTCACGGCGCCTGCTCCGCCTGAGGCGCCGGGCAGGATTGTGAATGAGGCCGAGACGCGAGGCCTTGGGCGAAAAAGGGAGGCCACTCTTCAAAGAAACAGTCAGAAAGTGGTCCCGAAATAGAGACTTAAGGGTGAACAGAGGGTAAGCGCTTAGCTGAGGAAAAGGCGCGTTAGAAATCAGAGGGATGCGGGTGAAAAAAAAAAGCAAATCAAGCCGTTGGCAACAAGGCAAAGAAAAAAAAAACAAGCCAAGGAAGAAAAAAAAAAGCTTTAAACCCAAAACGGACAACCTAAGCCAAGTTGAAGGGTTCCGGTTGAACAAGGAAAAAAAGAACAACCCCCCGGTTTTTAACTCTTTAAGAGACTTTAACTGTAACTACCCGGTAGAGAATGCATCGAAAGAAGGATCAAAATCCAATCAAATCCACTGCCATTCGAGTCCATTCTGACTCATCTCATTGACACCAATTCACTTTTGGGTCACCATGACCCCATAAGGCAGAGTAGAACAATCCTTGTGGGTTTGCTAGGCTGTGAATCTTGACAGGAGCACAAAGCCTCATCTCCCATAGAGCACCGGGTGGGTTCAAACTGCTGGAGTTAGCATAATCCACTACATCTGGGACCCTAGGGTCCTACTCATAGTAACCGTATATTACGTTTCCAGGGCTGTAAATCTTTGTAAGAGCCGACGATCTCATCTTTCCACCTCAGAGGACTGCTGGGTTTGAACTGCTGAACTTGAGATTAGCAGTCCAACACAATGAGGGCTTCACAAATGACACAATTGCATCCAAATGGACCAGTTTGAAGTTCTCTCTGATGATGCTGAATAAGCTCAGTGGCAGTGGGAATGGAAAGAATATTAGTTGATGTGAAAGTGAGTTGCCTTGCTGAACTTAGAGATAAGACAAAAGTTCAATAATTATGGCAAGAGTTTATAGTTCTTACTCTGTTCCAGACACTGTCCTAAGTGTATTGTATATATTAACCCATCTAATCCTCATAAAGGACTCCTTTGAGATAACTGGAACTGAGAAGTAACATACCCAAAGTTGTATTGGTTCTAAGTAGTGCACACGGGACTCAAACTCAAGCTGATCCTTTCCAGAACCCCTGTTTGAATCACTGCACTTTTCTCTGGATGCTGCTCATTGGTAGAAGGGTCCCTAGGTGTCTCCCACAGTGAAGCGTTCAACTACTAACTGAAAAGTTGGCATTGCAGAGTTGGCTGTCTGCATCCCAAAGGTCACCGTCTGAAAGTCCTAGGGAGCAGTTGTATACTGTATGCCTGGGGCTGTCACGAGTGAGAATTGACTTGACCATAGCACCATTCTGCTTGTCTATTGATGTTGTTGGATTTTTGACAGATGTATAGTATTCGATGTCAGGCTAGAACTGTGTGATTGAGCGGATTCTCATAGAAACCTAGAACAGAGTAGAATGGACCATTGCATTTTTCTAAGCTGAGGTCTTTGCGGAAGCAGACAGCCACGTCTTTCTGTTTAGAGTCTGGTGGAATTTCCAGACAAAGAAAGTGAGGTATGTTTTGAAGTATTGGAGAGTAGACTTTGGATGTGCAAGATTTGAATAGAATTCAGCACGAGTGTAAATAGGGTGAAGGGTGGAGTAGAAATTGTAGCCCATCTTACAGCATCTAAGTACTGTTTTCATGCATATTAACAAAATTGGGATCTTAGCAGTCTTCTTTGGCTTGTTATCAAGTAACATATATACTTGAATATAAGATGACCTGAGTATCAGCTGAGGCACCTAATTTTACCACAAAAACTGCATTTAAAATGTACTGAAAAACTTGGCTCATACATGAGTATATATGGTAGATTTCAGAGAGGAACCACTTGGTGAATTGACTACTAGCCGAAAGTTTGACAGTTGAAACCCCCCTAGAGGGCCCTCAGGAGACAGGCCTGGCTTTCTGCTTATGTAAGACAACCTTGGAAATCCAGGGAGCATTTCTACTCTGTACACATGGGGTCGCTGTGATTCAGGAATCTACTAAGTGGCAGCAATGATAAGATGATTTCAAAGTAGTAGAGTACATTGAGGACAGAGATGGAAAAGATTGTAGCAATTTATTTTAACTCTTGGAACAGGCCATATGAATGTGTGGCTCAGATCAAAGATAGGACCCTGGAGTTAAGAAAGGAACTAGCTCAAGATAAAAGTATTATTCTCACCCAAATGGTAAAGATTGGAGGCTTAACATTAGAAGCAAAGTAAAGGCAGGGGCAAGGGGAATTACCAGGGTTTTCAATTTGGGTTAGCAACGTCTTATTCTTATTGTAGATAAGAAGGAACTTACTGACAAGGTTGCTGGAGAGATGCTATACAGGAAGGGTTCCTGTGAGAATAAATGGAGTAGCTACTTAAGATCCAAATCTTAAGTATGGAACAAAGAGGGTTCAAGAGTTAATCCTGACTCATCTGTTTTCAGATGTACTTAAGCTCCTCTGAGTTAGTCAGCTGTTGAGGACTGGAGGTTAAAGATGGCATGGCTTATTGGACCTCCTTATCTAACATCACAGCAGGCCTTCAGACCAGTTCTTCCCTGTTTAGTCATGGCCAACAAAGTGAAACCAGGATGGACCTAAATTTGTAAAATGTGGATACCTGGAACAGTAATTGCCATGGGTAAAATTACAGATCAACGACCTGCCAGAAACTTAAATCTCCGTAGAAAGCTTGAACAGCATGTATGTTGCATAGCCACTAAGTCTCTTGAACCAGAGTCAGAAACAACTGTGCCCAGCTCAAAGGTGACATTTATCCTTGTCATTTTGAATGGATGTCACTCTCCAATCTTGGCAATGATTGAGTCTTCTATACCAGGCTCCTGAGAGGGTTTATTATTGCTCTTCCAAGTTTCCCATTCCAGGGCTTCGATCCATGATTTTTCCCATTCTTGTTAATGTTGCAATACACCCACATTTTCCATATCAGTTCTGTTTTGATTTCACAGTGTTGCCATAACTGAGCCAGCCCTGAACCCTGCTTCACAATGGAGGAAGAGAGTTATTAGTTATTATGCACATCAACAGCTCAAAGCATCTGATTGCTATGAGATCAGACATACCTCCACCCTCCAGCCTTTTTACCAATTCCTATGCCACCTATCTCTCCCATGACACTCTTAATTTCTGCTGGGTAAAAATTATTCATTTCAGTGGCCACATAGAATTCATAAACCATATAGGCATAGAGTTTATTAGGGAAGTCATAGGTTAAAATTCAGGATCAGGAACCACTCCGAATACAAGTCGGATCAGAACCGCTTTTCTGCCATGCCTATCGCCTGTCCTCTTCTTGGGCCCCTGGTTTTGGCCTCTGTCTTGCTCATTCAAGTGTTAGAAAACTCTTTAGTTCTGCCAATCAATGCCCAGAAAAACCCCACTCTTCCAGGGAGCCTTGAATCTGCTTGGCTTTCTCACTTTGTAGTTCAGCAGGTCCACAGTAGACTTACTCCATTGGCTTCAGCCCACAACCACTCCATCTCATGCTTGTCCTCTTGCCACCATTTCTCAGCTACTGCTGCTTTTCAGCATCCCACACTGTCTTCAGTGTTATACCTCTGGGTTTACCTTCTCTTCTTGGTGGTAGTGAAGTTCCCCCCTCTGCTCAGGGATTAACTCTTTTTTAAGCCTAGCTGTATGACAACTGGCCAATCCCCTTGTTAGGGTTCCATACACCTTATTTACATGGACCTACCCCCAAAAAGGTTGCTGTGCATTGTCACTTGGTGGGATTTACAAGACCATGCATGCTAACCAAAAACCCAAACCCACTACCATGACTCATAGTGACCCTACATAGGGCAGAGTAAAACTGCTTAGGTTTCAAAGACTAAATCTTTTTTTTTTTAATCATTTTATTAGGGGCTCATACAACTCTTATCACAATCCATACACACATCAGTTGTGTAAATCACATTTGTACATTCATTGCCCGCATCATTCTCAAAACATTTCCTCTCCACTTAAGCCCCTGGCATTAGATCCTCATTTTTCCCCTCCCTCCCCACTCCCCTCTCCCTCATGAGCCCTTGATAATTATAAATTGTTATTTTGTCATATCTTGCCCTGTCCGACGTCTCCCTTCACCCACTTTTCTGTTGTCCATCCCCCAGGGAGGAGGTCACATATAGTTCCTTGTAATCGGTTCCCTCTTTCCTACCCTCTCTCCCTCTACCCTCCCTGTATCGCCACTCACACCACTGGCCCTGCAGGGCTCATCTGCCCTGGATTCCCTATATTTCCAGTTCCTATCTGTACCAGTGTACATCCTCTAGCAAAGACTAAATCTTTACAGGAGCAGACAGCCTCATCTTTCTATCTCCGAGTGACTGATGAGTTTGAACCACTAGCTTTGTGGTTAGCCACCCAGTACTTAGCCCACAGCACCACCAAGGCTCCTTATCTGTGGCTAGAAAGGGGCCATCTTAAGTAATTCATTGCCTTAAAGGAGGTGGTTCTCGTGGGGACTGTGTTGGCAGAAGGTAGAAAGGGCTCCTACTTTGTGATTATAGGTATTCTTCTGTAAAAGGCTTACCCATTCCCTCTAGTCAGGCCAACTCAAAATTAATTGCTATTGAGTCAATTCTGACTTTGTAGGACAGGGTAGAACTGCCCCTATGGGTTTTTGAGACTATTAACTCTTTTTGGGAGCAATAAGCCTCATCTCCCAAGGAGCAGCTGGTGGTTTCAAACTGTTTACCTTGAGGTTAGCAGCCTAACATGTAACCACAATGCCACCAGGGCTCCTTTAGAGCAATTCAGTGACCCTATGTGACAGGGTAGAACTGCCCCCATAGAGTTTCCAAGGCTGTAAATCTTAACAGAAGCAGAACTGCCTCATCTTTCTCCCTCGAATCAACTGGTATGTTTAAACCACTGCCGTTTTGGTTCCCAGCATAGCACTTAACCATTTCACCACAGGGGCTCCCTTGTGAGAGGCTCTACAAGGCTCTCCCTTGTAGAAGGCTTTAAATGAATAAATAATGTAGGCTTATAAGTCATACTGTCTGGCACACTTGGTCAGCTCTCCTGTTGAAACTCAGAACTGGATGAGTGCCTGTGTTCCAATAAAACTTTATTTTCAAGCTCTTACAGCTGCCCAAAGGCTGCAGCTTGCTGATGGTTGCTTTGTTAGTCTCTGGCCTGTGAAATTAACTCACTAGCTTGGAGTTAGAGTGTGTTCTTAGACTCTATAGAGTTGGGACATTGAATTACTCCCAAAGACTAAAATTGCTTGATTCACATTCACAGGGTATTCTGTCCTGTCCTTGTATACAGAGCATGTATGTGGCTATTTTGTTTGATTTGTATAACAGAAAGTTATTTGTTGTTGAATATATGGCTGTTTTATACGCCACAAAGTGTATCTAGCGCACCTCGTTTTATTGTGCTGCACTTGGTTGCACTTCACAAATAAGGGTATTTTACAAATAGAATGTCTGCAGCCGCCCTGCCTGGAACAAATCCATGGGCACCATTTTTACAACAGCCTGTGATCACACGACATCTCTGTGTCCTATTTTGGTAATTTCTTGCAACACGTCCAACTGTTTCCTTCATGTTCTTGCACATGTCTTGGACTACATTATAGTGCAGATGTAACTTCCACGTGCATGGTGGAACCAGAGCATTCACATGACTCCTTACTCACATACTCACATCATTGTGGCAATCTGGAACCGAGTCCTCAGTGTCTCTGAGGGCTTCTGGACCAAAAATCAGGAGGCAAATGGACATTTGGGCAGGATTGGTGAGTTCTGTCACCAGGAATAAGAGTGGTGAAATGGGGCATCTCAATTGGTAGAATAACTGTCCAAGGAGAGGAGTCTGGGAAAACAAGACTAGTCTAGATGCATTTCCATTCCATGACCCTTATGTGCGCCAGTGCCGTGCAAGTACTGATACTGCAGGGTGACTGAGGCATCACATGCTGGTTAGAATCTCGTCTTGGCCACGGAAGATGAAGAAGGCCATGTTTCCACTGCCATACCTGAGACAGGGAGACATGCTGGTGCTTCCCCGGTCAGTTGAGGCAGCCCCAACTAAGGGGCTGAGTTCCCACCCCAGAGGCAGGACTGGTTTGCTAGGCAGGGAACAAACAAATGAGGAACAGCAAAGGCTATAGGCCTTGGAAAATCTAGAAATTGCAAGTTCTTTCCTGTGACGTGACCTAGGAGGATGAGGACTACAAACAATGTGTATGTTTGGCAAGAACTTGCCTTTGTATTTCAAAACAGTGATGGAAAAAATGAGGACCTAATGTCGGGGGTTCGAGTGGAGAGAAAATGTTTTGAGAATGATGTACAAATGCACTTTACACAATTGATGTGTGTATGGATTGCGATAACAGTTGTATGAGCCCCTAATAAAATGTTTTAAAAAAAACAGTAATGAGTCACTGGAAGGTACGGGGAGTTGTACTGGGAGGTCCTGTGTACCCTTCAGCCACCCGATGCCTGAGTTGATTCCAACTCACAGTGATTCTACCACAGAGTGGAGCTGTTCCACACCATCCCCGAGGCTGTAAATCTTCGCAAAATCTGACTGCCACATCTGGTGGGCTCAGACCATTGTCCTTTCAGTTTGCAGCTGAGCATGTACCCATGATACCCCATAGCCCCCCTTTCCTGCATCCAGCCTCCCTCAGTGCTGACATCATAGACAGCAGAGTGTCATGTTGAAACCAGGTACAGCTCGGAGCCTGCTCCGAGCTCGCTTGTTTTCCCTGCACTCGTGCTGGAGTAACCAGTGCCACATCTGCCATGCATACCTTCAGTAGAAAGCGCTCCCACCCTCCTCCCCACATGGGCCCTCGCCCTGAGCGGTATCTTCTCCATCAGTACTTTTTGTCATTTTGAGAAGGTGATGTAAATGAACCCAGACCCACTGCCATGAAGTCCCAACTCGGCATCTCGCCGTGGGCGACTAGCCGCTGGCACTCACTGTGCTGCGTTTTGCTTTTGCAGTTCATGCAAAGAGGACTAGACTCGGAAACCAAGAAGCAGCTGGAAGAGGAGGAAAAGAAGATCATCAGTGAGGAGCACTGGTACTTGGATCTGCCGGAGCTTAAAGAGAAAGAGTAAGTTCAGGCGGCTTATGTTGATGGTGCTTGGGCAAGTCCTGGGAAGGCATTGCTATCCACCATGCCAGGGACCGGACAGAAAACAATTTGGCACCCTGAATTAGCCTAGCAAAATAGTTTTCTAAAATTAGTGAACCTGGGCAAGGTCTGCTTGGACTTGCATGTTTTTATTGACCCCTTGCTGTCATTTAACATATTAATGCTTTTTGTTTGTTTCACATCAAATGAACGGATCTGGCCCCCCACCCCAAGTCTATGGTAGTCACAGGTAACCTTTTATGGGAAACTGGAATTGCTCACTATCCAGTTAACTTCCACAGATGAGATGTGTACCTCAGGCACCTCCAGTTTTATTTCAATAACTGAGAGTTGGATTCAGTTCCTGAAGAGCAGGGCGAGCATTTGGTCTCCATTCATACAGAGAGAGAGCGCGTGCGCGGCGCTACTATTAATACTAATGATGATGTGTTCTGTGGAGTCAGTCCCGACTCACATGAACCCTATAGACAGAGGTGAGCTACCCCCTAGGGTTTCCACAGTGGTAATTTTTAGAATTACAGTTGACTGCCAGGTTTTTTTTCTGACGAACCCCTGGGTGGATTGAATCCTCTGGCCTTTTGGTTAGCAACTGAGTGCTTGACCATGAAAGCTCACTCAGTGTTGGCTAATACTAGTAAGGAGCCCTGGTGGCTCAGTGGAAGGTTAACAGGGCAAACCCACCAGCCTCTCTGTGGAAGGAAGCCCGGGCTTCTTGAAGATTGCAGCCTTGGAAACCCAGGGACTAGTTCTGCCCTATAATGTGCTTTCTGAACCAGAACAGACTTGACAGCATCATACCTTTTCCTGGGGTCACACCTAGTAGCCAGAGACTGAGCTGCCTCCCTTTACAACAACTGAGGGTCTGGTCAATCTCTTGAACTCCGTTAGGTGGCTTAGGCCTGCACGGGTCATACTGCAGGGCATCCTCTGCACTGCCTCCTCTACCCCCCCTCCCCCCTCCCCCGCCTTTCTCATTTACATAGAGGGTCTTTCTCAAAATTCATTCCATCCCCATTTAAACTTCTGTGTATGACTATCTCAGACAGATCTGGTCTCCAGGAGAACAGAGGCGGTTTCCCCAGCTTCTGGAACACTGCCTGGCACACAGCTTGGTGCTGCTGGGCCTCTGCTGAGCAAGTGAATGGGGAAGCCTGGTAGAAGAGAAGGGAGGCCTAGCTTTCTCCGCAGCAGTAGCCATGAAGGCCAGGTGACTGACTGTGGACTGTCCTCGGTAGTTCGGAGCGAGCCTGTCAAGAGAAGGCCCCCAGGATTGCAGGGCATGGACTGGTGTCTTGGAGCAGAGTCCTGTGGGAGGCCATAGCATCCATCCACCCGGCATCATGTTTCCAGGACAGCCACAGTGGCCAGAGCACCTTACGTGGTGTTGGCATTGTGCTGGGAGCTCTTTGCTGTGTCTTGGGTTTGCTCAACAATTTGCCGCCCTTATTTCTGCCCTTTTTCCATTTCTGGTCATATTGCTTTCCCGGCGATTCTGTGAAGCCCCACCACCTCGTTAAGAAATCCCCTCTTAGCGTTCCTCCTCTTGACTGCTTCTGATGAACCAAGCACTTCCGGTAAACACTCTCTCCAG